AAGAACTTAGACAGAGATTAGAAGCTACCAGAATGTGGCCAAGCTGGGCCTGTGCCCTAGAGTGACAGTCCTTATACTGTGGTTTATATGTCCAAGAATACAAGATGGTCCAGTAGAAAAAAATTGGAAACTTCTATCTCTTTTTATTGTTTTATTTTATTTATTTTGTACCCATACTGGGACTTAAACTCAGGACCTAGACAGTGAGCTTTTTTGCTCAAGTCTAACACTCTACTACTTGAGCCACAATTGTACTTCCAGCTGTTTGTTGGTTAATTGGCAATAAGTATCTCACAGACTTTACTGACCAGGATGACTTCAAATCACAATCCTTAGATTTTAGCCTCCAGAGTGGCTAGGATTAGAGGCCTGAGCCATTGGCACCCTACCATTTTTAATTTGAAAATAGGAACAAGTAAACTTTCTTAATATGAGGAATGGCAGTGGTGGCCTTATATGGAAAGGTCACTGTCACATCCAGTATATGAGATATCCTGAGTCAGTGGGAATTCCACCCTGATAAAGGAGGTACTACCATAGCACGAGTGAATTCATTTGCTTTTGGTGATGCATGACACAGCTTATATACATCCAAGTTGATTAGTGAAATATATTTACCTAGTTGAACCAAACTAACCATCATAAAATAGGCATGTGCTTTTAAAATGTGGACTCAAGCACAGTGCTGGTGGTTCATGTCTGTAATCCTTGCCACTTGGGAGGCTGAAATTTGAGGTTCCTGGTTCGAAGTCAGCCAGGCCAAGAAAAGTCTGCGAGACTCTTACCTAAAATTAGTCGCCAAAAAGCCAGAAGTGGAGCTCAAATGGTAGAGTGCCAGCCTTGAGCAAAAAAAGCTCAGGGACAGCAGCCAGACCCTGAATTCAAACCCTCAGGACTCACACACACACACACACACACACACACACACACACACACACGTGCGGTCAAGATGCTAATTTTTTTTACTAAGGCTACAAGACTTTCGGAAATGTTTGCAAACTAGTGAATAAAACTGAAACTTTAGCATCTCATCCAAAAAGGTGGAGATATCTGAGCTGAGTTTCCTCTGCCTTCTCTTCCTTCCTCTCTCTCTGCTCCAGCCTGAGCCACTCTGCTCCTCCCTCCCCCACCCCCACCCCGGTGACACCCACGGATAGTCCCACTTGGCCTTCTTCCCTTGATGGCTGAGTTGTCCCACTGTCCAGCAAGGAAAGAGAACTTGCATCCCTCTCCCACTCTCTTTCTCTTCATCTCTGGTAGGCATTGGGCTCCCCAAACCTAGGGCTCATTCTAAAGGGATCCCCTGTTCCCCGTTCCAGAGCTCACAGGCCATTTCCTCTTTGCCCCTTGGCTGCAGCTGATAATGACTTCCTGCTGTTCTCCTTTTGGTGCGTGGCCATCTCTTTGGGGGCTCCTAGATGGCAGTAAATAGTCTATTTGCTAAATCTCTTGAGCCATCTGGTCTGGGCTGGTTCCTTACTGGGAGCCTGATTGATAAAGTGTCTCTTTCAGCCATGACAGTCATTAAAGCCAGAGGCTATCCAAGTGCCAAAATAAGACTTTCAAAAATATACAGCATAATCAATCACATATCTCTTGCCAAAGAGTACTTACTTAGGAAAAACAGGATGGTTGTTAGCACTATTCCTCAGAAGTTCTTGCTAATTAAGCCTCGCCTTAGCAACCTTTAAAAAAAAAATGATGATGCCCATGAAGAGTTTCTGGTAACAACCTGTCTTTCGGTCTCCCTTACAGAAGGCCCTGACAGAAAAGGCAGGGTCTATATTAGGTCCTAAGCACAGGTCGCTTCTGCTAAGGCATTGAGTCCAAAGGCTCATCAGGTGAGGCTGATCTGAGCTGCCATCTGAACTGAGTCTGACTTCACAGGTCTTGATTTTCCAGTCAGTTGCATGGTGACACTCAAAGATCAGTTTCTGGGACCTGAGTCACTGACTAGAGGCAGAGTGACAGCCATTATAGAAAGAGCCCGCTTTGGGGCTGCCTTGCATGCCTGAGGCCCTGGGTTCGATTCCTCAGCACCACATAAGCAGAAAAAGCTGGAAGTGGCACTGTGGCTTTAGTAGTAGAGCACTAGCCTTCAGCTGACGGGCTGAGGGACAGCACCCAGGCCCAGAGTTCAGGCCCCATGACTGGCCAAAAAGAAAAAGAAATGAAAAAGAAAAGAAAGAAAGAAAGAAAGAGCCCACTTTGGATTGAGGCAGCCTGAGCTGGAATCTCTACTCACCACCAGCCTCCTTGAACCATAGTATCCTGAACTCTATATAGAGTAAATGAAATAAGAGATCTCAATAGTAGGAGTCCAATTAATAGCAGTTTCCTGCCCTCTTTCCTTTTTTACTTACTATGCCAGATCTCAGTTCTCCATTGCCCTTCCCAATTAGCAGGTGCAAAGTCTGGGACTATGATCTCTGTCCTCCCCAGACATCTGGGCCTGGGCTCCCTCTTGGGTGGCAAATAGAACCCTTCTGCCGTCTAGCCACAGCAAGGTAGCTAAAGAGCAGCCCAATGGCTCTGTGAGACTGCCTAGGAAAGGTGACCGGGAGTGGGTGATTAGAGACTCCATCTTCATCCTTTCAAACTTAATCATAAGTAACCAATCATCAGGAACATGTGCTTAATAAACTCTACCTATTTAGCCAGGATACACTTTGGAAGCATCCAGTCCAATTATGTACCCAAAAAGAATTGATCCTGCTGGACACTGAAGGCTTACACCTTTATCCTAGCAACTCAGGATGCTGAGATCTGAGAATCAAGATTCACAGTCAACCCCAGACACACAAATCCAAGAGACTCCAATTGGAGTGGCTTAAGTGAAAAAAGCTAAGCAACAACACAAGGCCCTAACCCCAGTAACACCACCTACCCCCAGAAAAAGAATTGATCCAGAGCACTTACTAGACACCCGGCATCATTCTGCATTCCTACACAAAGTGGGAACTCTGTCTTGCAGTGCTTAGTTCCCGCTTTTCCCAAGGAAGGTATGAGTACATCCATCCATACCATCACAAAAGGCTTTGAGGAGGAGATGGGGGCTGTTTGAACCTCTAAGAACCTGTGCCATACAGCATAGCCCATCCTCTAAGGAATCCATTTTCCTCTCTTAGACTCACAGAGCTTCTTACCCTCAAAACTATGAGCCCCCTGGGCCCCTAGGGAACCCAAAATACTATTTAAATCCATTGCTTCATCCCTCAATGGCGAGGTATGCTTGGACAAGTCATTGAACAGCCAATGTCATCACCTATAGGACTGAGGTACAGCTACAGCCTTGCAAGCCCTGCTGTAGGGACACAGGACGCCACAGGGGACAGGCAGCTCCACATGCATATGTTGGGAGAGTCTGTGTTTCTCCCACCCTCCTCTCAGAAATGGGACCAAGCAGAAGTGAGCAGACATGAGTCTCCAGAGAGAGGCCCTGAGATCAATGCTGCTGCGTGTTCTCTCTGTGCTATACGACAAGGATGGTACTAAGAACCCATGACCCAGGAGTCATGGAGTATGGCACAAGAAGAGCTTAGAACAGTGGTTAGCACATCATAAGAACTATGTATTTTCTCTCTCCACCACTCTAGACAATACGCTTATGGGCATAATGGATTGAGTTATCTTTCCCAGGCAATCTTAGCAGCATGTGAGAAGGCTTCATATACCATCAGGCATACGAAAAGGGCTATCTGTTGTGAATATAAACAGCCACCCCTGACACACATGGATATACAACCCTCACAAACAAACACAAGCACAACTGTTTGCTCTGACAGATTCAAAATCACAAGTCACCATGGGAGGCACTCCCAGCAGTTTGAAAAGGCAGGAGCCAGGGTCATGGTCATTCAGACCTAGCAGAAGCCCTAGCTCTATCCTTGGTGGTATGACCTTAGGCAGGTCCCTTCACCTGACTTTCCTCCCATCATGTCAGTATTGGGGTTACAGGTAAGTGAAGCCACCTGCCTCACAGGCATGTATCACCTTCTGATGGGGGTGGCTGCCTCTCTCCTGCCCCCTGTCTGACAGTTCTGGGTAGCTTCTCCCTGCAGAAGACACAGCCCAGAGCAGCCCCTGCTGCTGGATTTTCATGAACCCAGAAAGCTGCCTGAAGCATGTTAGGAGATCAGCAGCTGCTGCCGCTGGGAGGGAGGTGGGAGCACCAGGGGTCCCAGCCCTATTGCTGTTTATACAAACTGCAGAGCCTCTCCAGCTTTTACAACTGTTTACTGTGCAGGATGGAGCCGGGCAGCTGGGCCTCTCTTCAGCCTTGGGTTCCCACTGCTTCTCTTTGGAGAAAGCCAGTCTGAATAGCTCAGCCATTGAGAATCACCTCAACATGAGCCCCTGGACAGGAGCAGGGCTGGAGCACCCAAGGCGGCACATGTGTCCCCTTTGAAGACTATCAAAAGTGCAAAGAAGTGGAGGAAGCTTGGACAAAAAGAAAAGTTGGAGCAGAGATTGAAATAGGGGTTATGACCAGCGCCCAGGACAGAAGGGTGAGACACAGACACGGGGGCAGAGTCAAGGATAAAGACAGGCAATTACCAGTATAGAGTTCACAAGCAGACGGGTACAGGGCAGGCAGAGGGGAGAAACAGGAAACATAGAGGAGAAATTCACTCCTGGTTAGGTTGCATAGCCTCAGGACCCCTCTTCTGCCACAGAAGCCCCCCACCCCACACCCACCAAAAGCTAGAGGTTGAGCTCTCCAGTGAGAAACCCCAGTGAATGCACATTTTCAAACAAGGAGCAAGAAAGGAGAATTTCCTGAAGTTAAGACTGGAAAGTTTTGCTTCTGATTTGCAACTTAAGATAGCAAGAATAAAAAAATATTCAGCTGAAATGCCACCCCATCAAGCCAACTCCCCTGAACGATAAGAGTTCAGCGCCCCCATCCCAGCACCCTGTACCTTTAAGAAGGCTTCCTTCCCTCTGCTTCCCTCCAGGCTGAAGAAGCAGGTTATTCTAGGCTATTGCAGAGGACTTACCTAAAACTGAGTTATTCCCCTTTCCTCCTCTGGCCAGCCTCTCTTCACTCTGGGGAGCTTTTACCATTTAAGGTCAATGTTACATCTGGCTCTGGAGCTCTGAGCTGAGAAGCCTCTGGCTGCAGAGCCCTGGCCACCCTCCTCCCCTGAGAGGGGCTGGGTCTTGGAGCCAGAATGCCTCCAGGGCCCCCTGCAACTGGGCTCTGGGGGCTTAAAAGGCAGAAGAAGCCCAGCAGTGGGCCTCAGAGCTCAGGGCAGGCTGGGTGGGCCTGAAAGACCACTTATCCATGGCCCCTCCCACAACTTCCCCAAAGTATATGGCAGTGCCCATGGGCCATTTCTGCCACTGAATACTATCCTAGCCAGAGGGATGAAGGGGATTCTGCAGATCTGCCTCCCACCCTAAAATCTTCAGCAAGCATGGGAGTCTACATGAGAGCCTGGCTACATGCCAGAAGAGACTGGGAATATTTCCTGTCCCAGGGATTGGAGAGTGAGCATTGCTCCCACCTTAAAAACTCTTGGGATTGCCAGAGAGAAGGGCCTGAGAGGTCTGGCTAATCCCAGATGGGCACTAGCCCCAAGGCCCAATCCCTTTTTCTCCACTAATGGTCATGTGGCCATAACTATCACAAAGCCTCAGTCTCCTTTTCTCTAAAATGGGAATAGTAGTTTTAATACCTAGCTCACATAGTCACCAGGGGCACAAAATGAGACAATATTCAAGTGTTTTGCATAGAGCCAGCATCCTCTGAATGCTAGGTCAACATTAATGCGCTCGCATCCCTACCCAGCCAGGTGGGAAGGGCTGTCTCTCTCCTGGAAGTCCACACTCTGTCCACACTGCTTTTTACCCTCTTTGAGTGCCTTGCCTAGCCAGAGTCAAGATCATAGCGTGCCAAGCCTAGACAACCACCTGGGGGTTCCAGGCTTTCTGGGATTTGAGGCAACACAGAGAAACTCTGGGTAGGATTGCCCGAGACCTACAGGATTCTCCTTCACTTTGACTTTCAGATAAACAACATTATTTCAGTATAAGGATGTTCTGACATTGCATGAAACACAAAGTGTTCGAAGAGATTATGTGTTTTTCATCTGATGTTTATATCTGGTTGAGCATCATATATTTTTATTTACTAAATCTGGAAACCCTAAGCCCAGGCCATCACTTGTTATCCTGAGAACATTGACCAGCCATGGAAAAGAACTGTAGGGATGGCAGCTCCAAAGCCTCATGATCTCCTGTGACAGCTGCAGGAATCTGTACAGTCCCCACCACAGCTGTGGCAAGTGCTCTCCACTGAGCCTGGCTTACCAGGCCTCCAGCCCCAGGATGTAGTCCTGAACTGTCTGTCATCCCAGGATCATTGTGACAGAGATCTCTGCTAGGTGTGTTTGTATGTACGTGGTGTGTGTGTGTGTGTGTGTGTGTGTGTGTGTGTGTGTGTGTGTGTTCAATCCCATTAAAACTAGCATAAGAATGAATACAATGAGCAATTGTATTTTGTAGATAAGACCAAGAAAGGCTGCCTTGTGTACTAACATGTTTTCTCTTGGTGTCCACACCTGTCCATCTCTGGGTACAGGTTCCTACTGCTGAGCCATGAAATAGGAACCACTATAATTACAAGTAGACCTTTACTGAATTCTTTAACACTGTTTCACCAAAGTTCAATGTAATTAGAATCCCCTAGTGGGAAGCTATTAGACTCCTCTTCCAGAAGTTCTAATTCTATAAATCTAGACCCTTGGAGGGATTCTCCTCATTGCCTACTTTGGGGAATGTTGCTCCAGGGGTTGATTGTATGAAGCCAGCAGCTGGTATTACAGAGACCCCTGGAAACCAGAAGTTGAAGTAAAACAATGCACGGTGTGCCTGCACAGTTGAAGTAAAACCCATACCTAGTGTGCATGTGAGTGTGTATACATGCCTATAGTGTATAAAATATGTATTAAATTCCTAATGTATTCCCAGGGCTACACTACATGCTTTACATAAAAACATGTATGTATCTCTTAAGTGGCTTATGATATAGAATCATTATATTTCTCTCTGTGTGTCTGTCTCTTTCTTTTTGCTAGTACTGTAGTTTGAACTCAAGGCCTCATGCTTGCTCTCTACCATTTGAACCATGCCTCCAGCCTGGCTTTTAGCTGGTTATTTTGGAAATAAGTGTTTGGGGGACTTTTCTGTGCAGGCTGCCTTTGAACTTTGATCCTCTAGAACTCAGCCTCCTGAGCAGCTAGGATTGCATTTGTGAGTCACCAGTGCCTGACAGATTTATTATATCTTTCCTTCAAAAATGAAACTGAAGGCTTGGAATGTGGCTTAGTGGTAGAGTGCTTGCCTAGCATGTATAAAGCCCTGGGTCTAATTCCTCAGTACCTCATAAACAGAAAAAGCCAGAGGTGGCTCTGTGGCTCAAGTGGTAGAGTGCTAGCCTTGAACAAAAGAAGCTTAGGGACAGTGTCCAGGCCCTGAATTCAAGCCCCAGGAACGGCAAAAAAATAAAAGAAAAGGAAGGAAGGAAAGAAGGAAGGAAGGAAGGAAGGGAAAAGAAGAAAAAAGAAAGAAAGGAAAAGAAAAGAAAAGAAAGCTCAAAGAAATAGAATGACTTGCCTGATGATCCACAGCCAGGAATATTAAAGCTGAGACATGACTCCAGATGGTTTGGTCCTAAACCCTTTCCTCTATCCCAAACAACAGCCTCTTCCATCACTGTTTCTTAGCCTAGGGCTCCTGGATAGCCTTGTGTGTCTCTGAGCCAGCTGTACTTATATGTGTGACTGTTTTCTGGAATAGAGGTTACAGCCTTCACCACACTCACAATAGGGCCACCAAATAATTTTTTTGAAAAATCATTATATTTCTACAAGCATTTTATAGAACACACACTGGTGGGGGGGTATAACATGAAATATGCTCTATAGAGGATGATTTAGCCCTATCAAGATTATAAGGCTTGAACCTCTGACCTAATTCTACTTCTAGGAATTCATTTTGCAAACACACTCCTACACTTGGGAAATGACTGATGAACAGGATTATCCATTGCAGCATTATTTATAAAAGCAAAAGGATTAGATGTGGCATAAGTGTCCACTAATTAAGGATCATAAAAGAAGATGGGGTACAGCCATAACAAAGGATGAAGAAGCTCTTGGTATACTGATAGAAAAGTCTCAAAGATATATCATTACAGGGGAACAATAAAATGAAAGAATAATGCCTACCAAATGCTACAATAGGGGTGAAAGTATACATATATTGACCTATTTGCATATATTGTATTATATGCATATATATACATCTGACACTCTCATAAGTGCATATATTTAGTTATATGACCTTTCTGCAATAACACAAAAATGAGTAACACTGACGTTGGGTGCCATGGAAAAGGAAAATAAGTAGCCTGGTTAAGAATTAACCACTGTGTACTTTAGGAATTTAAAGTCTTGGATCATAGGAACAAATGAAGCGTTTACACTCAATAATAATTATTACAAGACAAAAGCTTTGCTTTGGAAAAGAATTTAATCAAGTCATCTTCTACCCTCCCTCGTCCAAAAGTGTAAAAAGATCCTGATTAAAGGTTACTGGTATACTTAAAAAAAAAAGAAACCTTTTTATTTTGGAATAATTATAGACACACAGGAAGTTGCAAAAATAGTGCTGAGTCCCATGTACCCGTCACCCGGCTTCCTTCAATGTGACATCTTACATTGCTCTTATACAATATATTTCAAAACCAGGAAATTGGCACTAGAATGTTACTGTCAACGAGACTATAAATCTCATTCTAAAGGTTATTTTTAAAATACAATCTTCTCAAAGATCATTCATTCATTCAAAAGTGTTGGTGGAGGCCTTTTAGTGAGCTGAAGGTGCAGGCAAAGTGCTGGCTGGTGGGATATGAGGGACACCCCTGCCCATCCTTGCCCTCACAGCAGGTTGATGAGTGAGGGTGACCCCATTAGTCAAATGAGAGCAACTTCACCAAGGCCAAGAGCTAAGCAATGCACAAGGAGTACTGACCACAGCTCTAAAAAAAGAAACTGAGTCCCTGGCTGTCCTGTCATGGAGCTTCACAGCTTGCCTGAAAGCTGACTTTTAATCCTTAAAAGAACATGAGCAATTACTCCAGCTATATTTATCACATTCCTGGAGCCATACCGGGATTTGGCCTCACTCTCCCCAGATCTCTAGCTCTCTCCTCATCCCATCAGGGACAATCGCGTCCTCAGCATGAAAGCAGTGGCCAGTGAAGCACACTGGCACACAGCTCTGGGAACCTGTCACCACGCCATCTGACCTGGGCCCAGGGAAGAAGTTTAAAAGCCCTAGGAAAACAAAAGCACATCCTGGGACCTGGGAGAGGAAGCTTCTTGCCAAGAATACAGCCAGCACTGGAAATTTGACTTTCCCTGTCCCTTTTATATTTAGGGACTCTGTGACACAGCGGCACTTAGTGGGCCCTGAGTGAGTAACTGGACAAATGAGTGGCCAAATCAGTAGGAATGGCATCCAAGGAACAATGGCAGGTGTCATTTACAGAACACAGTGCCAGGCATCATGTCAATCACTGTCCATATATAGACTAAAGCCATGCTAGCCAAATCCATGTGAGGTAGATGTCCTACCCCCATGTCCAAGATGAGAAAACAGACACAGAGAGCTCAAGGAGCTTGGCATTGCTTCATAGTTTGCAATTATAGGGCTTTCTGATTCCAGAGTCCCTAGAATCAAACTCCATGAGAGCAGGCTGGAAACATAGAGAGACTTCCTCTCTCTCCAATGGGAAATAGTCTCACTCTCCCCCACCCTTCTACCGCCCCATTCAACTGAGAGTAAAAGACTTCTTAAAAAGGAATGCATGGGGGGCTAGGAAGGTTGCTCAGTGGTAGAGTGCTTGCCTTGAATGCATGAGGCCCTGGGTTTGATTCCTCAGCACCACATAAGCAGAAAAAGCTGGAAGTGGCGCTGTGGCTCAAGTGGTAGAGCGCTAGCCTTGAGCCAAAGAGCTGAAGGTTAGTGCCCAGGCCCAGAGTTCAAGCCCCACAACAGGGGAAGAGGGGAGGGTGGAGAGAAAAATACATTTAAGCCTAACATGGCAGTACATGCCTGTTATCTCAGTGCTTGGGAGGCTGAAGGAGGAGGATCTTATTTGAAACCAGTCTAGGGTATAC